GTTTAGTTTTTCTCTTTTGTATTTTCTTTTCTTTTAATTCTTTTCCTTTTCTGTTTTATTTAATTTAGGGTATTTAGGTACTTTAGAAAATTGTGTCTTCTACACCATAATTACCTAGGCATTTAACTGCACAATCCGAACATTTTTATTTCAATGTTAGAAAACTTTTGTTGTTTGCCATTTTTAGAATTTAAATTTTGAAACGGTCTCGAATCATTGCGAGGTTAGCAACAGTAACCGAGGTGACATGGCATGATTAGCATGGGATTACTGTAACATGATTATCCGGGCGTTACAATGGGCTTAAGTAGGCTCCTCACGCTTGGTACCAACGCATCGCAACGTTTCTTCATCAGCTTGGCTTCCGCTCCACTCGCTCTGATGCTTCACTGTTTGTCTACAACCAGGGCGATGCCACTGCTTTCCTGCTGCTCTATGTCGACGATATCATCTTGACAGCATGCTCGACTGCTCTTCTTCGATAGCTCACTGACCGTCTTCGTGCTGAGTTTGCCATTAAGGACTTAGGTCCTCTGCACTATTTCCTCGAGATCGAAGTTCTTTGCCAAGCAAATGGCTTCTTTCTTCATCATCGGAAGTATGCTCATGAGCTTCTGGATCGTGCCGGGATGCTTAACTGCAAACCGGCTGCCACGCCTGTCGATACAAATACCAAGCTCTCTGCTACAGATGGTTCTCCAGCTTCAGATGCTCCGTTCTATCGGTCGATTGTTGGTGCTCTTCAGTACCTCACCCTTACTCGTCCGGAGCTTCAGTACGCCATGCAGCAGGTGTGCCTCCATATGCATACTCCTCGTGATGCTCACTAGACCGCGGTCAAGCGCATTCTTCGCTATATTCGGGGCACCTTGGATCTCGGGTTGTCACTTCAGGCTTCGTCCTCTCTGGACTTGACTGCCTATTCTGACGCTGACTGGGCCGGCTGCCCCGACACGCGCCGCTCGACCTCTGGCTATTGCGTCTATCTTGGACCATCACTCATCTCCTGATCGTCCAAGCGGCAGCCCGTTGTCTCTCGCTAAAGCGCTGAAGCGGAGTACCGCGCTGTCGCCAACTTCGTTGCCGAGTGTTCCTGGCTTCGTCAGCTTCTACATGTGCTCTTGTCTCCGGTTGACAAGGCCACGATTGTCTACTGTGACAACATCCCCGCAGTCTACCTCTCCGTCAACCCGGTTCATCATCGACGCACCAAGCACATTGAGATTGATATCCATTTTGTTCGGGAACAGGTAGCTCTTGGTCATGTACGCGTGCTACATGTCCCTACCTCCCAACAGTTTGCTGATATCATGACCAAGGGCTTGTCTACCGCGTCCTTCGAGGAGTTCTGATCCAGTCTTTG